GAGGGAGAGGAAGGGAGTGGGGAGGAGAGGAGGGGGAGTGACTTTGGTTGGGAGGACGGAAGAGGACGGAGGAGGACGGAGGAGGACGGAGGAAGGAGGAGAGAGAGGAAAAAGGAGAGAGAGGGCGAGGGAGTACGGAGAGGGACTGGAATTGAGAGGAGGGAGGAGGGCAGGGCTCCTGGTTGACTCGTCGGGAAAGGTGTGGGAGAAGCTCAAGATGGAAGTTGCTATCACAGCCAAGGGAGGCATAGCAGGGGTCAACCACGTTGCGCACCTCGGGTCTCATCCTTGCCTGCTCGTGCGTTGCCCCTGTGCCCTGACGGCTCTGGTGGCAGGGGAGCGTTTGCCGGGTTTGCCATCGTCTTGTTCCTTCGGCTGATCATTGCAGCGTTCGAGAGACCATCGTTGAGATCTTCAAGATGAGCTGGCAATGGCTTGCTATGATGATCGAAAAATCTTGTCGCAGTCGAACTTTTCTTTGTGCACCTGCTTTCTCCCCTTCTCCCTCTCCTTCCTCCTTCCTCCTACTCACTTTGCACTTTCTCCCTGATCCTCTACATCAAAGACGATCTTCGAGCTCATCCCTCTCTCCGTAGTATCTACTACAACAAAGGTCGCGCCGAAGGAGGGCAGACGCTGTCAGAGGACAGCGATGAAAATGGAAGATAAAGCAACTTACAACATTTAGTTTGACATTGTTCAAAGACTTATGTAGAACTCTTGAACATTGCGATGTTCGAAGTTCCACATCTCTTGACGTAAACATCAATTGTTAGGTAAGAGACAATCGTTCAACAATCAGACTTCAATCTAGTACACAAAATCGATCTTGCAGCGACTGATCGTTCCAAGTTTCAGTGTACTAATACATAGAATACAACAAACTGGTGTGTTACCACTCGACAGCTATTTTGAATGATGCTCAATATTGCATACTACCATCCGCCATCCTCTCGCAACTCGCGAGGAAAGATTTGATCTTGAGCTTTGATTTTATCTGATTGCATGACATCCGATTCCAAACTCAGCTGGAATGAGCGAAGAAAGCACCGCCAAGACGATCAAGAGGGTGCAATGCTCCAAAAGCTGATAACAACATGTCTGGATAACAGCTGACGTGCCTTCAATCCTTCGGTCCAATGAAATCCTTCACCTTGTCTAAAAGTCTTAAACTGTACCCGATGTCTTCTAAGATCTCTGAATTAGCATCTTCCAAGGTCTTCTGCATCATTTCCTTTGCATGACTCGTTTGATATCGAACGCTAAACAAATTGATCCCGTTGTCTCCTCTCCTCTCCTCTTCTTTCCTCTCCTTCTCTTGTGCTCTGTTCCTTCCAGCTTCATCCTGGTAATACCTCTCTTCCAACCCTCATGCTCATCATGCCCTTGCAGAATCTCCTGCAGCTGGGTTGTTGGTGGTATTGTCCTGCTGGTGCTGGTGCTGGTGCTGGTGCTGGTGCTAGTTCTGGTGCTGGTGCTGGTGCTGGTGCTGGTGCTGGTGCTGGTGCTCCTGACATTGCTACTAGACCCCCTATATCTCCTGTGCCCCCTGTACCTCCTGCACTCCCTGTACCTGGGAGGCTCCCCCCTCCCTGCTGAACTTCCCGCTCCTACTCCTTTTCTTCCTCTCCTCATGCTCCTCGTCCATTGTTACCGCAGACGGGCGACTTCTTCGTGGAAAAAAAAATCTGTTGCTATCAACCACCCCTCCATTTACTGAAGTTTTATTTCAAACGTCATGGGTAGGTACTTTACGGTACTAATTTACGAGCTTTTAAAACAATTCATGAATACAGAAAATGTGTTTGAAATATTGAAATTAACTATCAGAAATACATGAATGGTCTCAGAATCTGGGAATATTTTGGTTGTCCCGGGACGTAGAGCCCCGGGGGGGTGGTCAAACAAAACAGCAAAGAGAGAACCTGGGGGTAGTGCAACAAACTATCTGAGGGGTAGGGTAATTTTTGTAGGGGTAGTTTTATCTCCTAATGACTTCTCTTTATGGGGGTAGTACCCAACCAATATTTTTGAAACTAGGTGGGGGTGGAAGAACAGGGTGGGGTGGTACACAAGGAGACGTAAGGTAATGGTGCTAACCTGCCATCGAGTCGGTGGGGTCCTAAACAATAATAGGAGGAGGGGAGGGGAGGGGTGGAGAACAATTGGTGTCGGTGGATTGGAAGGGGTAGGGGTCATCCAAGGAGGGGTTAAAGAAAGATTCAGGGGGTTGAGATCAGAGACGATTAGGAGGGGACGGGGTGTTGACATACATGAGGGGGTGGTCAAACGACGAGACGCTGGGTTAGCAAGGGTACAGTAGGGGTGGGGGTAGTCAAAATGACCGGTGGTATTGAAGGTTTCCATGTTGGGGCCGGGGAAATATCTCCAAGCTTGTGCCACGGGTAGTTTTCAGTGAAGTTGAGAGGGTGGGTAGTACGCTTCTTGAAAGGAAACTGGGGGTGGTAGGAGTGTTTGGGGGTAGGGTGGATGGTGTGTGTTGAGTGAGTGGGTGTGCCATTTTGCAAGGGGGTGGTCTGTTTGAAAGGTGGGGTCAGACACCAATTGTGTACTTTTAAGGGGTTATTTTGACTTGAAAAAATGGGGTTAACTTAAACCAATAAGCAATTTATGGGGTACAGGGGTTTAGAGGTGGGGTGAAAGGTCAGCAAAGGTGGGTCAATAAGGGAGAGGGGGTAGTGTATGGATGGGGATATTGTTGAATGGCTTGCCAGGGACAGGCCTGCGGGAGGGTTGAGCGCTGGCGACGGAGGGGAAGAACCAGAGAGGAGAGCGGAAAGAGGTTTTGATCATGGTGGTTCGAGATGAAAACATTAGCGTTTTGAGTGTAGAGCGGCTTTAAAGAGGAGAATGGAAGCGTGTTCGAGAGGCACGACATGGAGACTGAAGGCCGGGTACGTGTTGGGATGTTCCCCTGGGATCTAGAACATGTCGAAGGAAGACGAAACTAGCAGTTCTAGTGCAACTGTTATAGTACGAATGTCTCGAGAAGATGGGCAAGTGAAACACGGCTGAGAGGTGAATAGCGCGGAAGCTTCGATTCTTTGAGGGGCAGGGGCAGGGGCAGGGGCAGGGGCAGGGGCAGGGGCAGGGGCAGGGGCAGGGGCATCAGTGTAGCAGGGTCTAGTTTCTTGTTGATGAACAGACAGGGTTGAGCTTGCCTTAGATTTCTCTCCTCCTTTTGTTCTGTTCTGCCTGTTTTCAAAGCTAACTTTCCTTCCTCTCCCTGATTCTTCTCTTCCTCCCATTCGGACGGTCAGGTCTACCTTGGATGCCATCGTTGGATTGAGTTCACATGACAATTTTTCGTTGCAATCTTGCATTGACGAGGCGATGATGAAGTTGCGCTGATGGCATGTCGTATGCACACCTTGGGTCGTCTCAGAGCTCTTGTTGAGCTTGTGCTCCCGCTCCCCTGAGCGCTAGAACCACCCTGACCATAATGCCGGAATCCACTTCCTTGAAGCTCAAACCTCTCCCGCCACTGCGACGTGACTCTCGCAACGAATCTTTGAATCCGAAGACAGAGGGAGACAAGTACGAGGAAGATAACTCGTGCAATCACGTCGAAGATGATTCCTTGTACAATCATGCGAGTTTTGAGGTGGGGCAGATTGTGCCTCCACCGACGACAGCTCCCGTGATTGAAATCCCAACAAGCAGAAAACCTGCGTTCAGGTGTGATGATGAGAAAGCTTCTCGAGCATTGTGAACTGATCTGACATGCTATCTCGTGCTCAGTCCCGTGCATGCTGAAGCAGCGCTAGATGGAGAGGAGTCCACCGAAGGCGACCATGCTGCTGCTGCGCTTACCAAGAGTCAGATTGCGAGGTTGCGGTGGACCAGGGCGCTATGGTGGGCGACACAAGAGGCGCAAAGGTGATAGCAAGAGGACAAGCACGTGAGAGCGGAAGATGTCATGATGTCTTGAGAGATGAAGTGTCGTCATGGTTGTTAGAGAAGGTTTGTAGTTGTGAAGATTGATGTGATGATGTATACGGTTGTGAGAGGTGTGCTATGCTATGCTATGCTATGCTATGCTATGCTATGGTGTGTTCCGTGTGGTGGAGAATTAGTCGATGTGGAATGAGAGCTCTGTCTGGTACCAGGAGGAAAGCGCTTGCATTCCAAATAAGCAAATCGAAGAGCATTATGCAGAACAAAGCATTGATTCTTTCTACGGTGATCGATTTCAATTGTTGCATCTCTCTTTCATTAGTCGCCTTTTCCCCTCCTTCTCCTTTCTCCTGCTCTCCCTTTTCCCCCACTTCTCTCTCCCTCTCTCTCTCCCTCTCTCTCTCCCTCTTCCTCTCCCTCCCTCTCTCTCTCTCTCTCTCTCTCCCTCTCCTCTCCCGCCCTCTTCCGCCCCCTCCCGCCCCCTCTCGTCTTACTCTCATCGTTCCAGACGAGATTCAAGAGTCTTCTCGTCAGGGGGAGGAAGGTGTCTCCCGAAGATCCGTCCTCTCCTCCTCCTCGCCTGCAGAAGCGCTTCAGCACAGACTCGAGTGATGGTTGGATGAGCGGCAAGTTTGAGCAGCAACGAGACACGGCCTGGTCGACGGTCTATTCCGATGATATGGAGGAGATGGAGGCTGTGTCAAGCAAGAAGGACGATGTGGCAAGCGCTGAGAAGGAGAAGAAGAAGGCAAAGAGCGAACGAGATGTGAAGATTGAGAACTTTCTCGAGTCCAAGGGTGTCATCTACCTCAACATCATCTGCACCATGTGGATCTTGTGCGGGGACGACGTCTACATCCTCCTCAACCCTCCTCTCTTCCTCGATCGCGCCATCTTCTCTGTCAACTTCGCATGCTTCTTCGTCTTCCTCGTAGACTTCCTCCTCCGCATGCGGTGGGAACCCAAGTACCTCTCCTCCTTCTACTTCTGGCTTGACCTTATCTCTCTTCTCTCCCTCCTCCCCGACGTTATTTGGTTCATGGTTGGCATTGATATCCTCAACATCGGCAAGAACGTCTCTGACCTTGCCAGGAGCGGTAGGGCTGCCAGCGCAGGCGCTCGAGTCGCGCGAATTATTCGTATCCTTCAGCTCCTGAGCCGCATCAACAGGCTGAGGAACAAGAGGATTGGACAGTTTGACAACGAGCTCGGCGACAACTCAGTCTCCGAGCTGGCCAAGAAGCTGGACACGTACATCTCGATGCATGTTGTCATCTCAGTTGGTGTCACTCTTGTGCTCTCCTTCTCTCTCTCCGCCGCCTACTCCTTTAGGCCCTCCCAGTGCCTCCTCCTCGCCATGCGAGGATACAGCGCGACGCTGGCGCCATGCGTGAGAAGAGGAGGGGCAGAGGTTGACGAGACGTGCTTGCAAGGTTGGAAGGCAACGATGCTTCAAGATCTGGTCACGGTGAGTCAGCTGATCCTCTTGATGCGCAAGTCTGACTGTTCTTTCTTCCCTCCTACTTCCTCCTCCCTCCTCCCTCCTCCCTCCTCCCTCCTCCCTCCTCCCTCCTCCCTCC